GCAAAATTGAGCAAATGAGTGAGTGATGATTTTCACTGTTGGAGACAGGAGATACAAATATGGAGTGGGAAGAATCCTGTGCTATCTGATTAGAATTGCAGATGTCAATATGAACTCATTTTTAGTAAGTGTACATTTTTCTAAGTTCTGAAATAGCTCAATAGCGGTGACTATATCTTAAGTCAAGATCTGAGTCAGGTACCATTGTCTACTTAATAAAACCAGCACTCCTTTTTTGTTTTTTGTTTTTAATTTTAAGTAGGCTCCACACCCAATGTGGAGCCTGAACTCATGACCCTGAGATCAAGAGTCACATGCTCCACCAACTGAGCCAGCCAGGCGCCCCTAAAACCAGCAGTCCTTGGAAAATGGCTGATTCCTGGTCTGGGATAGGGATAGAAAAGATGAGCCTGGAACATCTTGTTGTACCAGAAAGTAAAGGAGTGGTCAAAAATATATTCAGGTTATGTCAGAGGATCACAGGGGTCATCTTTAAGGGGCTCTCACTGCTTAACTTTGTGACAATTTTAGCATCAAAATAATGACTAATGAATTTTAACCAATTACTAATATAAGAGTTCAGGAGTCCAGGAGCACCTGGGTGGCTTAGTCAGTTAAGCATCCACCTCTTGACTTCAGCTCAGGTCATGATCTCAGGATCGTGGAGCTCAAGCCCTGCCCTGTGTCAGGCTCTGTGCTCCTCAGGGAGTCGGACCTGAGATTCTCCCTCTACACCCTCCCCCCATCTAAAGTAAATAAATAAATCTTAAAAAAAAAAGATTTCAGGAGTCCATAATGATAATAAGTAAGTAAGTGATAAAGAAATGAAGAAAGAGAAAGAAAGGAAGAAGGAAAAAGTCTTCCTGACAGTAGAATGCCAACCATTTGGCTATTATTATAGTAATAACTTATTTGGGTGAGGATAAATAAATAGGTGTTGCAATTATTGGGTGAAAACTTGATGACCCACAGGAAATTTACATAGACTCAAAGTCACTTCCTTAAAATTATTAATTACAGAGGGGAAATAGGAAATTTATAATAGAGAAAACTGGAGGTGGGTACATGGGGGAACACTTTAATCAAGTAATCAATGTAAATGTGGCAAAGTGTTAACAATTGGGAAATGTGGGTGAAAGATAAGAAATTTTTAATACTATTCTTGCAACTTTAAGTTTAAAATTATTTCAAAAGAAAAATTTTGTGGGTTTTTTTTTTTTTCCTTCTGGCTCCTTCCCTGATACTTAAAAAATTTTTTCCCTTCCCACACCCACTCACAATCTGGATTCCTTACTGGGCAGGAGTGCACATAATCTCAAACTTCTTGGTGAAATGGCATGGGGAGGTGGAGGTTAGTATCATTTACAATGGAAATGAATGACTGGGGCTCCAGCTGGGAGCAGCAAAGAGGAAATGCTCTGTTTTGTTCTGTTGCAGGGTCTGCCCCACCTTCCCTGTCCTGGAGGGGGAGGGAAGGCTTTTAGTCACAAGAATCTTGTTATCATTATTTCATCTTAATCTGGTCATTGGTAACTGAGAGGAAAAAGGGAGATCACAAAGGTAGCGAGATGGTCCTGTATCCACACTATGTATCAACACCTCCCTTCGTAAAAGACCAGAACGTGCAAATGTGTGTAGGATCTCTCATATAGGTGGATCTATCAAGCGAACCTGAGACCATTTTCTTTAAAAAAAAAATCTTTTCATTTTATCTATTTATTTTAGTGATCTCTACACCCAACGTGGGGGTCCAACCATGACTCTGAGATCAAGGGTTGCATAAGGGTTGCATGCTCTTCCAGCTGAGCCAGCCAGGGACCCTGACCATTTTCTTATGAATGTGTGTGTATTTTTTTTTTTTTTTTTTTTTTGGTAATCTCTACACCCAAAGTGGGGCTTGAACCCATGACTCCAAGATCAAGAGCCACACACTCTTCTGACTGAGCCAGCCAGGCTCCACTCATTTTCTTATTTAAACGCTTTGCTTTGGACTACTGTACGGTTAAATTTCTTTAATATCCAGAATAATACTATTACGATACAGAGAAGCAGCCTAGTCCCACATCCTTTGTTGTAATTCCAGTATTTACAGTAGACAACTGGATATTCCAATCCAGAGATTAGGTACAGATTTCACAATTACAAAGAGGCAAACATCAGCATTGCTCTTAAAGGACATTCCCCTAAAGGAACACAGCAGAGAGGAATATTTAACAAAAATTGTACTGAAAACAGATTCCCTGACAAGCCATCAAATTCACAGTCAAAGGGAAACAAACCACAATGTTAGCAACATAGCAGCATCCAGTAGGTAACGAGTCAAAGCTGTACATAGGTTACCATACACAGAGCTTGGGAGACTGGGGGCATAGATCTGAAGTCAGCCCATGCCCCACCAACCCACCCACCCACCCGCCAGGTCCCTGTAGTTTACAATTGGATCTGTTCATGCTGAGGACCCCACCACAGGCCCTATTCTAAAGAAGTCTAGTTTCTCCTAGTTTTTTTTTTATTTATGTCAAGGGGCATAGGTAGCATGTAAAATTGGCTGCCTCCCAAAACCAGTGATAAAAAAAAGGAAGCATAGGCCTCTCAATTAATTTCACTAAAGATAAACAGAAAAGGCTAAGTCCTAGACAATTGTGGAATATGAAAAATGTGCCCCAGTGCCCGCCCCTCCCAGTTCCACATTCTTTTGTTTGAATTAACTTATATCTGTCTCTACTGTGAACAGTGAATGCCCAATGTAGGTTCAGAGTGCTCTTGGAGGGATTTTCATTTTTGTCAGGAATCAAAGTCTTAACCTAAAAGAAGCAACTGTTTATCTAGAGCTGGTAGAGCAGGTTTGCTTACGAAGTCACACCCTGTTGGCATCACCCAGTCCTGAGAGCATCTCTCCTGGAGAACTGAGCCAATTAAGTACTATTCTCTACGAAATTCTTGGCGGGTGTCAGCCTGCCCTTCACAAAGTCTCAGCAGCTACACTGCTTCGAGAATGTTTCAGCTCCACATCATCAATCCCCACAAGGCTTGGGGAGAGTCCTGGGCACACCTGCTTTGTCCTACCCTCAAGCCTTCTTGGTACTTGGTGTGACAACCCTCTTCAGTGGTTGGTGGAAACTTTCCTAGACTCGAGGACATATGTCATTCCCAGGACCACTAAAGCGACTGTTATATCCCCGCAGCAAATGAGGCTGCAAACAACTGGCCTACGTGAAGCCAACTGAAGTCTGGAGATGTTAAAACACAACTGCAGATGTAATCAGCCAAGGTGCTGTCTGACAGGAGGGCCTCATCTTTAAAACCCTCACTGTGCACTGCACTGCTGCCTTCTTTGTGGGTCTTTTATTCATTGTGTGTGCTGTTTTATAGTTTATTTCTTGCACATTGGTGTATTCTCAGAATTTTCAAAAAAACCCACCTTGGATTCAGTTTGTTTATATACAGAGAAATTGCAGTTAAATTTAGTTTTTGATCATTTTTATACTCTAATGTATGATATTTTGATAACCTTTATTTTTATGTATTACTAGATCTACGTTTTGTTTTCCAAGATAAGGCTTTCGTTTTTAATGACTATAGCCAGCTTCACTGGACCTCAACTGTACTTTTCTGAGCTTCTCATTTTTGCTAGTGAATTTGAAGAGGAATGATAAGTCATTTCTGAGCCATGATTTGAAGGACCTATTAAAAAAGAAAGAAAGAAAGAGGAAAGAAAGAAAGAAAGAAAGAAAGAAAGAAAGAAAGAAAGAAAGAAAGAAAGAAAGAAAGAAAGAAGAAAAGAAAGAAAAGAAAGAAAAGAAAGAAAAGAAAGAAAAGAAAAGAAAGGAAAAGAAAAAAGAAAGGAAAAGAAAAAGAAAGAAAACCTTTCCCCTGCTGTCCCTCCAAGCAGCACTTCTGGCTGAAGGCAGCACGGTGACCTGCTTGTGCCTGGTTGTGACCTTTGTCTGGATGAGGAAAATTGGAGGCAGGCAAAGGAGTTCTGGAAGAATTTCGGAAGCGTGGGGTGAACCCAAATTTGTTTTCCACATTTTGTCTCAGGTTGGCCTTGAGAAGAAATTAGAAAGTAAGGCCTCTGAAAACAAAGGAATTGTGATTACGTAGCCCAGAGAAGATCTTTATGCAGTGAAGTAGTCTTAGAACAGAGCATGAATAATTAAGCTCACGCGGGCACAAAATAGAATATACAGTATTTGTTTAGATAAAAGGAAAAAATACCCACTGGTAAAAACTAACATAACTGTGGAGACTTGACCATCTTTATTAGCAAAGTAGAGCCCCCTTGTAGGACCGGGCGGGGGGAGGAGGGAGGGGATCAGGTTTCAGTGCCCTTCCAGACCCAGGATTCTGAGAGGAAGGATGATAACCTGGGGACCAGCATGGTTTCAGTGGGTACCAGGAACTGGCATCGGTTGTGAAAGGAAAGAGCAGAGCTTCACTCAGATGTAAGGACAGAAAACATACCACAGTACAGAACACATAATAGCTGCATAAAACTGATCAGTTTATAAACAAATAGAGTCTTAGAAGCCAGTAGAACGTTGGTCTTGTTAACAGGTGACACAGTCTCCCAGTTCTCACTGGTAGGAGAACAACTTCATAGACACATACATATTGCACAAAACCTCAATACAGGTTTCCACAGGGAAGGTTTCCACCCAGTCCCTGCTGCTCCCCAAAGGTTAGGGAACAAAAGTTCCCTACGTCACTGTTCATCGTGACCCAGCGTTCCTCTTCCTGGGAAGGGACACACGTCTGTCTCTTCAATGGCAAACTCCAGTGGCATCAGGTGACCTTGGTCATAGGCAAGAATCATTCAATATGGTAGCACTCGGGGCAGCTGTGACTCCTTCCTTTTGGTGACAGATCTTAAGCCTTTTCAAAGTCCACAGGTGCCCCAAATGGCAGATGTCTTTTTTTGAAAATAAATACACCAGAATCAGCAGACCCATCAAAGGAAATTGGCCACAGTTACTCTTTTGAGGGGAGTTGTTAACTCTTCAGGGAAGCTTGCTGTTCCCCTGCCAGTACAACTTCTCCTCTACTTTTTTCTTTTTCCATCGGCAGAGGAGCAGCATCTTGAAGGTCTTCCTGAAGGTTCTGTTGCAGAGGGCATAGCAAATGGGGTTGACGGTGCTGTTGACATAGCACAACCAGTAGCCCAAGTGCCACAGGGTGACTGGGACACACTTGTCACAGAAGGTGGAAACCAGGACCATGATGTTGTAAGGGGTCCAGGTGATGATGAAGGCCAGGAGAATGGCACTCAAGGTCTGGGCTGCCTTCCTCTCCTTGATGAGGACCATTCTCTTTCGTTTGGTCATTTGATGGCTGAGGTTGGGATCCAGGCCTTTCGTCGAAGGGTCCTTGGACACTGGGAAGGAGCAGGGCATGATTTTCACCTTGCGACAGCCGTTGTTGGTCTCCTGGGTCCCATCAGCTTTCACCACCAGTCGGAACTTATAGGCCACACATTTCTGACTCTTGGGTCTATGAGCAGCACCTGGGGACAAGAAGTATTTTTGGGTGTCATAGTCATTTTTTTCAGCTTGAGCTTTCACAAACGTGTCCTTGGTCTCTTCGGCACTGAATTCTTCCCTCGGGCTTTCCTTGGCCTGACTCTTGTAGACTACTTGGAAGACAGGGTCCGTGGCGGGCTTGTCCTCATCCTCCGAGGAAGGGTAGCTGCTACAGGTAGTGAGCTGCTCGGCTTGGGCCCACTCGGTGCTTGGGCCAGTGGCTTGGGATGGCTTCCCAGGGGTGGAGGTGCTCCTGCGGGAGGATGACCAGGAGGCTTGGTTCCTTTCCCTCTGGGCCAGTGTGGGTTGAGGGCAGCTAAAGCAGGACGTCAGCAGAGCCTTATGAGCTGGCTTTCTTGGCTCCGCTTCGGCCATGGAGTCAGAGCCCTGGAGGTCAGCCAGGTCCTTGGTCCGCTTCTCCGTTTCCCGGTAGATCCGGCAGTAGAGGATCGTCATGACAGAAACAGGGATGTAGAAGGCAGCAATGGCAGTGCCGAAAGTGATGGTGGGCTCAGACAGGAACTGGATCTGGCACTCATCTGGTGGTACCGTCCGCTCCCCCACCAGGTACTGCCAGCAGAGGATAGCTGGGGCCCAGAGGATGAAGGAGATCAGCCAGGCCAAGCCAATCATGATGCCAGCCCTTTTTGGGGTACGCTTGGCCCGATAGGTCAGAGGTCTTGTGATAGAAAAGTAACGGTCAAAACTGATCACCAGAAGGTTCATGACGGAAGCATTGCTAGCCACGTAGTCCAGGGCGAGCCAGAGGTCACAAGCCAGACTCCCGAGCACCCAGCGTCCCATGAGGATGTAGGTAGTGTAGAGGTTCATGGAGAAGATCCCAATGATGAGATCTGCACAGGCTAAGCTGAGCAGGTAATAGTTGTTAACAGTCTTCAGCTGACTATTGACTTTGAAGGAGATCATGACTAAGACGTTGCCCACGATGGTGATCAGGCTTACCAGAGCGGTCACAGCCGCAATGGTGATGACTTCCCACAACCCATGGCGTTCCAAAGGCTGGTGACTTACTGGGGTGCCATTGACAGTGGTCGTATTGTGGTAAGATTCACCTTCCATCCTTAATTAGGGTTAAGTCTTGGGTTCTAGACCATATCTTTTCTATCTCACCTCTTCTTGGTCAGCATCTGGAAGAGAGGGAAATATATTAGCTCCACTCACCAGCACGGGTCTTTTTTCCCACTCATTGTTTATCACTTACAACAGGATAGTAAACGTGGTTACACACATATTCAGAGCGAGATGCTGAAATCTCTGTTTTGATGACAGTTTGTAGCAGCATCATCCCTTTGCTTTTTAGACGTACCAGTGCCCGAGAGCCTTTCTTGTTCTTGAGGCTGCTGCCCTCTTGTGGTTCCAATGGGCAATTTAAAGAAGAGGTGAGCTGTGAAGACGCGTGGGGGAGGAAAAGGAGATTGGGTAACTGGGGAGCAATAAAGAGAAGAAAGCAGGTGATGTGAAGTTACTTTTGATTGCAGCAGCTTTAGGGGCAGAAACTGTTTTTTAAGTTCCCAGTGATAAGTACCTAGTCTATCATGCACTGGGGAAAAAGACAAGTTGTATCTACTCTATATCCCATTACTAAACATTATTGCGTTTAATTACAGATTCAATTAATAAACATTATTGAGGCATTGTTGCGAGGCAAGACTATCTTATCATACTTCTCCATGACTTAATACACGAACACCCCATGTGCACAGAGGGGTTGAAATTTTCCCCAGCTGCTGAAGATGATGACCTCCCCCCATTTTTGAGCCATTTGTGATGTAGTAGAAATGTTTTAAATTATTTTATTTTCTGATTATAAAGTAGTATTTCCTTGTAAAAGTTCAAGCAATGTCAAAATGTAGAGCTTAGAAAACAAGCCTCCTCTGACTCAGTCTTGCAGAGGTAATCAGTGCTTTCCCCTATGCGCATACTAACAAGTATTTAAATACAATTATTTTTAAATGGGTGACTTTTTAATGTTTACACCCCGAATTTTGTTTTTCACTTAACAAATCATTGTGGACATCTTTTTTTTAAAGTTTTTTTTTTAATGTAATCTCTACACATGATGTGGGGTTCAAACTTGGGACCCCAAGATCAAGAGTCACATGCTCCTCCAACTGAGCCAGCCAGGTGCCCCAATGGACATCTTTTGTATCAGCATGTCTTTTGGATCAGAGCTCTTTTTTCATTTTAATGACTGTACATTATCCCATTTCATGGATATAATATAATTTAGTCAACACCACTGACAAATTCCAACTTTTAAAAGTAAAAGAAAAATTTTCTTTTCTAGGTTAAACATCTGTGTACATGATAAAAAGCTTCAATGGCTATAAGAGTGTAAATGGTAAAAGATAGGTCTCCCTCCCACCTCTGACCTCCAAGCTCTCAGTCTCCCTTTTCTGGAGGTAACCACTGTTACCACCATTTCTTATTTTTCCTTCCAGAGATATAATATATGCATGCGATATGTATTTGATGATATATTAAAATTTTTTTTTAATTAAGTAATCTCTATGCCCAACGTGAGGCTTGGAGTCATGACTCTGAGATCAAGAGTCGCATGCTCCACGGACTGAGTCAGTCAGGTACCCCTGAAAAATACTATTTTAATTACAAAATTCCAGGCACCATGATATGATGATAGATAGGGAAGGGAGAATCTTCTTAATGCCATGTGGACAATCACTGTTCTGCCTAATGATGGGTCCTGCCTGACCCTTCTCTGATAACAGTAATTGATATAAAGATGACAAATTTGTGAAGGGCTATGGATTTTCTCGGCTTTATTTTATATTTCCAACTACGTTGTTAGATGTTTTTCTAATGCCTCAAATTCAATATGGAATCGACTTGATGATATTGTTTTGTACCAGAGGCCAGATTCTTCTGACTTTCTGATCTTGCACCCTCTTCCTTCACATCCCAACTAATGCAGTACAATTTATCCATGAAATACCCTTCTTACGGGTCCCTTTCCATTCCTGCATCTATCACCCTGGTTTAGCCTTGTGTTGCCTTATACTGATAACCCCTTGGTGTTATCAGCATTCCAAAGACGGCAAAGTACGTCAGATGCCAGGTCACTAGACTGACTCCCAAGCACCTGGCAGGCCAGAGTTGCTCTACACCCTACAATTCTCTGGGCAATTTCCATCCCAGACTCTCTCGAGTTGACAGATCTAAGTCTCACTGTGCAAGAACGATCCCACAGAAATTCCTTCTTTCTTCCTTCCCCCAGTCAATATGTATTGAATGTCTTTTATGTGACAGACTCTAATAGTGGGGATACCATGGAACAAGACACTGGTGGGGGTATAGATAAAGAAGCAGGTAATAAATGGCAGGGGGCTGGCGCTGCAAGCCGTAGGGCACGTGGAAGGACGTGTAAGCCAGGCCTGTGGGAGAGCGGGGGAGAAGTCCTTGAGGAAAAGATGTCTAAGCTGAGGCTTGAAGCATGAATGGGTTTTATCTAGGCAAAGAGGGCGTGTGTGGGAGGGCTGGGGAAAGAGTGTTGCAGCCTCAGAGGGGATTGTAAGCCCAGAGGCAAAAGGAGGCATCAACCTCAACATCACTGATCATCCGGAAAATGCAAATCAAAACTACAATGAGATATCACCTCACACCTGTCAGAACGGCTAAAAATCAACAACACAGGAAACAATAGGTGTTGGAGAAGATGTGGAGAAAGGGAACCCTCCTGCCCTGTTGGTGGGAGTGCAAACCCTGGGGCAGCCACTCTGGAAAACAATATGGAGATTCCTCAGGATGTTAAAAATAGAACTACCCTGCAATACAGCAATTGCACTACTAAGTATTTACCCAAAGAATACAAAAATACTAATACAAAGGTTTACGTGTACCCTGATGTTTATGGCAGCATTATCTACACTAGTCAAATTATGGAAGCAGCCCAAGGGTCCATCGATTGATGAGTGGATAAAGAAGATGTGGTATACATACATATATAAAATGGAATATTAATCAGCCATAAAAAAGAATGAAATCTTGCCATTTGCAATAATGTGGATAGAACCAGAGAGTTTAATACTAGCTGAAATAAGTCAGTTGGAGAAAGATAAATATCATATGATTCCACTCATGGGTGGAATTTAAGAAACAAAACAAATGAGCAAAGGGGAAAAAAGAGAGAGGCAAACCAAGAAACAGACTCTTAACTATAAAGAACAAACTGATGGTTACCAGAGGGGAGGTGGACGGGGGGATGGGTTAATAGGTGCTGGGGATTATGGAGGGCACTTGTTGTGATGAGCACCTGGTGTTGTATGGAAGTGTGGAAGCCTATATTGTACACTTGAAACTAATATAACACTTCATGTTAACTAACTGGAATTTAAATTAAAAAGGGGGGGGGCATCAGGTTGGAGAGCCTGAGACACGGAGGAGAGGTGGGACTAGAGAAGTTGAGGGGGTGGGGTAGGCAGTACGGGAGTGGACTTGAGATAAAAGAAGTCCACCTTCCAGGAGAACTATGTCAGCTATTTCCAGACTCCACATCTGCCCTGAAGGTCGTCTTAACACCCAGGGTGTTGGGGACAAAAGTCTGGAGAGAAATAATAAAATGAACTGACTGCTTGCTGGTTTTTTCTAATCAAGTCTTCAAAATAGAAATAAATGGTGTTTGGGAAGGATTTAACTTTTCCACTTAATTTTATTAGAAGGTAGTGAGCAACTTCTGAAGGGTTTTGGGGATTTGGATGTGCACATTCTCCTGTGAGCACATGTGTCTAGCCAGGGGCTTAGCCTCTCTGACCTGTTTCCTCATTTGTAAAAATAAGGAAATTGGATTATGGGATGCAAGATGCCTACATTTTAATGATTTTGTATATCACACAGTCTGACGGTTGATTTTATGTGTCATCTCCAGATGCCAGGTGTTTTGTCAAACCCCTACGTCTAGATATTGCTGTGAGGGTATTTTTTAGATGGGACTAACATTTAAGTCAGACTTTGAGTAAAGCCAATTATCCTCTATAATGTGGGTGGGGCTCAGCGCATCAGCTAAAGGCTTTAAAGGAAATGGCAGAATTCCTTCTGCCTCCAGACTACCTTTGGATACAAGACTACAACATTGACTCCTGCAGGAATTTCCTGTCCGCTAGCCTGCACTGCACATTTTAGATTTGCTAAACCCCACAATTCTTAAAAATTATAAGCAAAAGGCTCTTTTCTGTGATAAAAGGAATAAACAGTTTGATAAATGGAAAAAAGATCACTTATAGTGGCAATGTGGTCGCTGAATCATACAACTGAATCTGGCATTGGGCAGCGTTAGGTTTAAAACCTAGCTCCAGGGGTGCCTGGCTGGATCAGCGGGTGGAGCGTGCAACTCTTGATCTCCGGGTTGTGAGTTTGAGCCCCACGTTGAGTGTAGAGATTACTTAGAAGAAAATAATAAAATCTTTAAAAAACAAAAACCAAAAAACCCCTTAGTTATGTAGTTTACTGTCTGACTTTGGACATGTTACCTAAACTCTTTAAGTCTCAGATTTTTAAGCTTAAAAGTGGGGATATGAAGAGTCCTTACCTCATTTGGTTGTTTCCGGGATTAAACAAGATAATCCTCATTCAGCGTTTCACACAGTATCTGACACAGGGGAATGCTCATTACAAAGTAGCCATCCAGCTGAAGGACATGAAAATGACTTTTCCTGTGTTGGGAATGGTTCTGAGGTGTGGTCTATCAAGGGACAAGGCGGACTACAATGATGAGGCAATACTCTCATAGCCTTGAACTGGCTGTTTTAGAGGCTTCATGGTGCTAATGATACTTTGCCCTTTAGTTTTGGTAGTTGATGCTCCACCTTCAGGGGCATAACAAATTGTTCCCAACCACTAAAGCAGAATAACCCTGAAGAGAGCCAAGGTTAACAGTCTTCTTCAAAGTCTGCTCATTAGAATAGGGCTACTCAAGATGCTTGACTGAAAGATAAAATGGTCCCAGAGTCAAAAGAAGTTGAGAAAATACCATCTATTATATAAAGCTCTCAGAGATCCAGAAGACACATGAGCTTAGAGAAGGCTGAGAGGTCCTGAGGTGAAGG